TTGTCTTTCTAAGGTATCCTAATATATTGCATTTTGAAACTACAGGTAAGGTGGGAACAATTCTTATTGGAAACCAAAGGATTTATATGACTAAAAAACAATAACGTTTGACATTGTAAAGAAGATACATGTAATTCCGGCTCAGGGAGCATTTGGATTTTGTTATCTAAGTCCTGAGCCACTGCAGGTATGATTGACTTGGATGTTAGGACCAACTCCTTAGCTATCACAATTTCATTTACCTTAGGAAGGTAGACAAAATTCCAGCTGAAATTTTGGCCTCAAATGTATTGAGAATAAACTCTGTGTGCTCCTTCTTTGGCTTTTGATATATATTTTATCATTCTGTACTGAAGATAACTGATAATAATATGTTCTTAGAGGGTAGAATGTCATGGCTGCAAGGTGTCAAGCTCTCTTCTTTTACAGTTCCTCTATAGCAACTTATTCATCATTTTGTTGCGCAATGCAATCTGGACATTGCTTTATATCTAATCCTGTTACTAAAAGTAGATAGTGTCTTTGTTACAGGGAGATCTCCGATACAGACTTAGCTTAAGTATGTGTCTGCCCTGTCATTTCAATTTGAATCATGAATGTGATTTTGAAGACAGTCTCTCAGTCAGTCCCAGTTTCAGAGTAAATTCAATCAAAAGACGTTTTCCAGGAGGAAACTAGTAACTCCAGCTGCTGATGGGTGCTCAATCCCTGGGACAAGGCTAGAGTCAGTCCAAAGTAAACCCCATCTGTAATGTCACTGCGGATGCTGAGTCCTCAGTACCAACTATTTTGCTTTACATAGTCTGCTCCTCTTGCCAGCATAGCCTGAGAGCCCTAATGAGATCACACACCGTGGAACATTAACACAAGGTTTTAAATAGATTTTTGAGTGATAAAAAAATCTTCTGACATGAACAATACTTGAGACAATGAAAATCAACATGAATTTCCCAAGCTTCCTTTAAAGATAACAGTTCATTATTAGAAAGTATTGCAGTACTTTGATCCAAAGCACTGTAGCTAACAGAAGTGCTGAAACCATACTGTCAAAAGCAATATCATCAAATAATTTTTAAAAAAATCTTAAAGCAAATCCACTCTAAGTTTTGTCTGAGGCTGGACACTGCATGCTGTGCCAAATTTGCTGTGCATGCATTGTTTTTCTCAGACAGCGATAATTAAACAACTTGATTTAAGTACATTATTGTTCTACTGAAAAGAAGCTGCTTAACAGTTTCATGTATTATGTAAATTGTTTAAACACATGCTAATACAGCTTCGGACCCACTACTTTTTAATCATAGTCAGATTAGATTGTTCCACAAAGTGTGTTCCAACATGGGGGAATGCAGTTAGAAAACACTGTAACCTGTCAATGTGAAGCGGCTATTGAAAAATCACATATGATTTCAGACTGTAGCAGGCAAAGTAGTTTCAGAACCAGCAGAGCAGTATTGATACCACTGTACAAATCACTAATAAGAACGCATCCAGAGCAAGTGTCCATGACTGCTAAATTCAAAGAGCAGGTACAGAAAAAAGTGAATAAAATGATGGAGAGAACAGAGAGCCTGTTTTATGGACTAGAAAAGCATGATGTTTAACCTAATAAAACTAAGGCTGAGAGGGGAGATGATTGCTCACTATGAATGTCTCAGAAGATAAACATCAGAGATGAAGAAAGCTGTTTAAGCTTAAGGACAATTTCAGCACTAGAATAAAATGGAGATAAACTGGCTAGGAGTGAATTTAGCCCATAAAGAGGTCAGAATGAGGCTTTCTCACATTTGGAAAGGAGAAGCAGAGAAAACAATATAGCTGATTTAAAGATAGAGCTTAAATTATTTATGAATGAGAAGCCACAAGAAAGTCACCTGTTAAAGGTGACTAGTTAAATGACCTCACACAGACCTTCAATTTTCTATCTTCATACTTTAGAGGACAAGGACAGTCTTGAGCTACACAGAACTTTACTATTCACATTCCTTGTGAATATGTTTTTTCCATACACATTTCTACCAGAATGCTTGCAGCCTCACAGAGCAGTAAAGGATTTATTCAGAATTCACAAAGATTCTGAAAGCTATGTAGATGTACATATATGAGTTCTGAATAAACTAGAAAATAATATGATCGAACTTAAATGTGTCATGTATTTTGACAATAAATGATAGATGACATTAAACTTTTTAGGCGCTTAAACATTTCCATCTCATTGTAAAGAATTTTAGTTCAACCATGTACTGTCCACAATACTCATCTGGAACTCTCAACAACAGTAATTAAATATGTAATAATAAAAAGAGGGTGATGAATATCTTCCTAGCATCTCAGCTCTGCATGTAAATGACATGAAAACATTAAATGGGGAATGACGGCAGCAAATGTAAAGGATTCTGCTCTTAATAACAACTTCATAAATTTGATGCTGACTTCTCTAAAGTTGATCTTGACGTTGACTTCTCTAAAGTTGAAATTGATTTACACTAGCATAGTCAAGAGCAAAATGTGTTTCAGAGTCACTTACTCCATTTCAATACATCTTAGATCAGTGAAAAATTAATTATGTAAAAGTTCATTGAATTATATGGCATTAACTAATCAGGATTGTATAGTATAGATTTGCTCAGATCTGGATTGGAGTTCAGCTCAACTGATTTTTTACTACTGATTTCAAAAAGTTCTAGTTTTCATAAATTTTCATTATCATTGTTAGTCAAAAGCACTTTTTTTTGGATATGCATTTCCTTTTTTTTTTTTTCTCTTCTGGAAAATCTGCACTATTAAATTCCTGAAAAACAAGCTGTGTAATAGCCCTGGTTGGAGAGATCCTTCCTCACCTTTACACACTTTTTTACCATGGATAGTTAAAGTACATTCCCTGTTTCTTCCTCCTTTCATTTTTACCATTCTATTAAGATGACTTTTGAAAATTTCATTATTTTGCTTCTAGTGGGGCAGAACACACATTGGAATGACAACTACAGTTAACTAAAAATTGGAAAAATATCAGTTAGCCAAAGGATTAGATATGATTTGCCCTGAAATGTTAATGGAGTCTTGTACAATGATTGAATTATTTCCCATTAGAAAGTTGTGGGGTTTTAGTAATTTAAAAAAATCAAATAATTGCATTTGACATTTAGTGAATATTGAAGTCAGTTTAGTCTTACAAACTGATATAATTCTTAAAAGAGTTGAGCAATCTCCAATAATTTGTTGTTGATTGTCAAGGACTTTATGCCTGCAAAATAAGGAATAGACTGTGAACCTGTGTTCTCACATTCAGTGATAAACTACAAAAACAAATCCAGCTTTACAGTTCATTGATTTTATACTAGTTATGCCCTTCTGAAGGAAATTTTTTTCCCCCACACATAAAGTGGGTGTGGAATGAAAAAGAATTATTCTTTTCACAGAATTATAGGCACTATTCATTGCAAGTATTAATTTTTGCCTTGAGGGAAAAGTATCTGGTTTGAAGGTACCATGGACAAGGCAGAACCAAGGAAATTTGTTTCTGTATTTCAGGTATAACTACTAGTGTACACGTGTAATTTCCATTTGTATTAACCCTTGTAGTTCCAAGCACTTTCTAAAGCCAAGCACTGAACTTATGGAATTTCTGTGACAAGGAAGATGAACAAGTTCCACAGTTGAATGAGAGGAAATAAAATTCTTGAAGCACATGAAGAAAATGATAGCAACGATGCAGCAGCATTACACTTTAGGCTATCTGTTGTTTCTGAGTAAGGAAGTACCTACTGACTATGTTTTACTAATCTTTCTTTGCTTTGCTTATAAGTAGTGCCTTAGAAGTAAGAAAATCAAAATGCCTTTTATTTTGCTGCCACTCTGGGGACCAAAAAATTTTTTGCCTGATTATTTTCTAGAGCAATGACCTTACAATGAGTGAGGTAATGCACAGCAGATGGCTTCAGGTGTGATTTTCTATTCATCGCTGCCTATTCATTTGGTATTGCAGGTGGTGTGATTCTAATGCATATCATATATTACCTACACTGAGAATTTATTTATTTTGAGTGACTTTTGGAGATGTTTGTTTATTCATTATTTCTGTCCCCTTTGGTGTCTGCTACACAGTGCTATTCTATATGTAATTTTAAAGGCATCTTCTGAGGCTCTTCTTGCCCAGTAGAAGTTATCTGATGTTTACAACTTAATTTGTAAAGGGAGAAAACTGCGATTTGTTCCTTTAGCCTCCTAAAACTATATAAACAATGTTTTCCCCTGTCTCAGCATATAGGTGCATATGTGCATGTCTGTGTGTGTTTCTAATTCATTGTAAACATGCTTAATATTCGGAGACATTAGTTGATGGCTAATATTATTCATAGAGGGAAACCTGAAGTGAAAGCTGCTGCTTGCCACTGTTAGATATCAGTGTGAATGTAAATTCCAATGACTCTCTCACATGCAGGGATGCAAGTTTAATCGGTCTGTAAGCTGACATATGACAGGTTAGACCACTGCTTCTTGTACAGTGCTATTCTATATGTAATTTTAAAGGCATCTTCTGAGGCTCTTCTTGCCCAGTAGAAGTTATCTGATGTTTACAACTTAATTTGTAAAGGGAGAAAACTGCGATTTGTTCCTTTAGCCTCCTAAAACTATATAAACAATGTTTTCCCCTGTCTCAGCATATAGGTGCATATGTGCATGTCTGTGTGTGTTTCTAATTCATTGTAAACATGCTTAATATTCGGAGACATTAGTTGATGGCTAATATTATTCATAGAGGGAAACCTGAAGTGAAAGCTGCTGCTTGCCACTGTTAGATATCAGTGTGAATGTATTTTCCAATGACTCTCTCACATGCAGGGATGCAAGTTTAATCGGTCTGTAAGCTGACATATGAGGTTAGACCACTGCTTCTTGTCTGACACTAGAAGAGGAAAATATATCTCTAGTAGAAAAAGAAAAAAAATTACTTTAATCTTTCCAGAAATAAAGCAATAAAGAATATCAAACCATCAGTAAATTATTGTTACCTTTAATGCCTTAATACTAGTCAAGATTTTAACACTATTTTGCTTTAGAACTATTAATTATACTTGACTGGAAAAAAAAATTGTGGGAGAGTAAAATTAATGGTTTCAGGAGGCCTAATATCATCTGGCTTTAATATTAAAATATTTATGACAACAGGTTAGAAATTTGGAGGAAAATGTGTTTTTGAGGTTACTCTTCCTACAATACTAGATCATATATTTTATCAAGAAACCTCATCCTTCATTCACAGATAGGAGCTCAGCTGGCCACCCAGGAGTAGCTCAGTGTGTCCACTGCCCACTTCTTGCAGTTTCTTCCAGTTCCTCACAGCAACATCAGCAACTCTAGAACTAAGGAGGAAACACATACACATTAATAAAAAAAATCAGAAGGCATGAAAAGGCTAAATGATCCTCTTGTTTTCTTTATCAACTTCTCTCTCAGGATTTCAAGATGTTTAAAAAAACCACCAAAATCAATTTATTTTATCAGCACACTTCTATTCTCATGTTCTGCTTAAAAAAGTCACAGAAAGTACTAGGCATCTAAGAAAAATGTCTAAATTTTCACTTTCAATTTTACACATGTGCTTCTGTATCTATAAATCATATTTTTTAATTTTACATAAGTTAAGAGTTATGAATTTATTTTATTATTATCTGATGCTAAACAACTTTTTTAATGCAATGAATTTAAATTAGAAATCTTTGTGCTTTAGAATGGAGTACTGATGTGGAAGTCACTATTCAGGGCAGACAGTTTTCTCAAGTGAATAGTATTTTTCATTTTCCCATTTCAGAAGTTATAGAAGAGTTCATAACTCTGAAATTCAGGTGCTTTCAAAATGGTTAGGCATCCAGAAATCAACCTATCATTAATCATTGCTTATTATAGACAGTTAAGCCAAATTTTTAATAACAAAATGTACTTCTCATAGTACAGCATAGGTGCTTATTTGTAAGCAAGTCTGTAACAAGATATATCTTTAGTCACAACTTTGAAAAGAATCCAAGTAGATTGCACTGAATTAGAAAGAAACTAATTAAGAAGAGTCAAGCCTGAATCCATCTCTCTTGCTTCAGAGAGCAAGTATGTCTACTTTTTTGTATCTTTTTCCTTCCAAAAGCTATTTTAAGTGCCAATTATTTTAAATATACCTAATTTCAATTTCTGTGTTTTCAGCAAGCATGTGTCTCACAAATTACAGGAAAAATAGAACTACAGAAAATAAAAAATATATATTTTATAGAATAGTCCTAGTCATTCTATTCCTATTTTGTTTGTATGTAGTCTCAAATTCTCTTCCACTACTATTTGAAGTGAATGTGAAAAACTTTTTTAATTTCAGGTAAAAAGAAACAAAAGATTTTTTTTCCCCCTGTGCTGAACCAGACCCAAGTTCTATTTGTGTAAGTGTGTGTGTAATGTCAAAAAAATGCAATAATGTCCAATATCTAATGTTTCAGATAAAGCTGTAAGACATCCACATCCATTCTTGTCTTTGTTTTCAGTACCTGGAGATTTGCTAAATCAGAGGTTATCCTGAAGTTTAATATTCCTTCCAAATTTTTAAGAGTTGATTCTTATAATTCAGGATCACTCTGACTTTCTTAAAAACCTTCAGCCTATCTTATATTCTTGACCTCAGAGCTTCCCATTGGCAGTGAGTACCACAGCTTAATCCTGTAGCATTAAAATAAGAATTTTTTTTTTTTTTAATTTTGAAATAATCATGTTTTCTGCAGTCTTATTTGAAGACTTCAAGACATTTCTACAAATTTAATTTCCCATTTTCTGCAGGGATAAGGATATGTGACCATTTGCCAAACTTTGCTATAGTCAAGGTTAATGGTAGAAAGAGCTACTTTCCAGTTTGCTCAAGTAAATATGCATATGTGCACTAAAATTATTCCCTTTGATCCTATAGTAAAGTAAAAAGCAAATTAAGTATGATCTTAGACTACTTAATTATTCTTTCATTGTGCCAACTTTGCCAGTGCATACTGATTTCAATGGGTGTCAAAGGGATCCTTAAAATTACTGGATTTAGTAGAAATACATTGTAGGACTGAGCTGCTTGTTTGTTCCTTTATCTAATAAATAATAATAATAAAGTATTATTATACCTGTGTATAATTTCTGAAAGTTTTTAAGACCTCCTAATTCTCTGTGCTGTTTTTGGCTGGGGTAGAGTTAATTTTCTTCATAGTAGCTAGTCGGCTGGGGTGAGACCACAATGTTGTCAAATGGCTTTTTAAAAAATCTATCATTATCAGTGTGAAGAAAATGTATTTCTGGCGTTAACAATTATAGTATGAGATAAAAATATAAACCGTAGCAGAAACAAACAAGCAGAATCACCTCATTTCTTATGTATTTTTCAGTCTGTGGTCACTTTTGTGACATGAGTTTATGGATTTGGGTCAACAGGGACTAGCAATACTGTAAACTGCCTCAAAGTAGTTTAAGCTATTTAATGGATGACAGAATGAAAATTTGTAATTTTTAATTTTATCTAAGTCATATTTTATTTTCTGTTCTAGTGAAAATAGTAATATTGCAACATTATTATTATTTGCTGTGGGAGAAAGATATCTTTACTGCTGCATAGAGATAATACCTGCAGATTACTTTCTGAAAGAGACAAACTGCGGAGTGCTAGACAATCAGCTGAAGGTAGGCAACCTTCAACAGAGACATAAGGCAATATGAAAAAATCTGTTAGCTGTTAACACTAGGGAAGTGATATTAGTGTTTGTATGCTTCCAAGACCCACAGTATAGGCATAGCACTTGTGAATCTATGTTTTGGTATTGCTGTTTTCCCTGGCCTATTAGTTAGCATATTGGTCCCAACAGCAGACAAATTCCAGCCCTTTCTCAAGTAGCTATCAAACTATTTTATAATAAATATTGATCAAAGAAAGAAGTTCAGAGCTTCGCATTCCCATGAGGGTTCCTTGTTCCTCAAGTGTAGGCCCACATATTCATCAGCTCTCATTTGCTGAGTCTCAGTTGAACAGTGAAATTTTAATTACCCCATTCATCCTTGGAACAGCTTCAGTAGGAGGGACCAAAAGAGCTTGATGACCACTGGTTGTTTGGGAGAGTGCTAGCCGGGCTAAAAAGTGCATGAGAAAACATTCTCAGAAAATATTTTGCCAGATGTTCATGTTCCAGTGTCCTGCCTCTGTTGACCATTCTAGCATGGGTATAGGTCTCAGTGTCTGGGGAACCCAGTGATGGGAAGTTAAAGGCCAAAGGATTGCGGGTGCTTCTAGACAACAGCTGAACACAGGCCTTTAAGATCAATGCTGTGGTGGAAAGGCATCCATTTATATGCAGAACTATATATAAAACTATGAACTGTTTTTGTGCTCCTATAATTGTCTTTGACTTAATATCTCCTGACTACATGACTAAGGTGGAATAAATACTACTACTAATAAATGAATACTAATGATAAATAATAAAACTAATGAATGTCACAAAATTATGTAAAGCCTGGCACAAAATTCACTACAAGCACTGGTGACTTATTAGAACTGCAGTTTAGGAACTGCTGATTATGTCATTTATGAACTATAACAGGCTGAGAACAGTAGATTAGAGAATTCACAGTAGATTGATGAGAGGTCAGAGGGTTTTTACATCTTCCATTAGGGATGCTTTGTTCATCACGGTTTATCAGGTGTTGAAACTTTGGCAGAACTGGCCTTTGAAAGAGCAAGCTTGACTAGCTCTTGGTTTTGGGCAGTACTGTTGAATGTCTTTGTGCTTTGATATAACGTATATGTTATGAAGTCTGGTTTGTATTATAAACATTAGCTCCAAGTCTGAATGCATAAAATGGTGGATGACCACTCTTCCTACAGATTTTGGGGCTAGACTCACATTTACATGAAACTCAGCTTTGTGTTTACATTTTGTGTCATACATCCTCATATCTTTCATATCCTCAGGTGTAAACCAGAAATACATGTAAGCCTCTGAAAAATAGTTTGTGGAAATGCTGGCATTTGTATCGTGCAAAGGACTCAGGAAATTTGATGAGTGCAAAGCAATGTGATAAATTTAAAACATCAGTGCCTTTTTCCAATTTCCAAGTAAAAAAAGCATTGCCTGAGGTAAATGGAACCTTTAATGGCCCTGTAAATGAGGCTATGGAAATCCTCAGGACTTCTTAGATAGGTTCTTCCTTAACCTCTTCTAGCTGGGTAAGATAAATTCCAAATGTAACTCGCTTTCTGATTTCCCCAAATCTATTTTCTATCTACACTCAATAGCATTTTGCCTTTTCTCTTCCTACCCTTGAGTCCTTGAATTGTTCCAGCAGTGCAACAATTGTCTCACAGGCTGGCACCAATATATCATGAATTCTACAACTGCTGTTTTTTTCAACAAAGCCTGCTACTCATTTCTGATTTTTGGTCATAAGTCACTCAATTTTTCCACTTTGTATTCCAAAAGCAATTTTGGTGATAAAAATCTAAAGAACGAGGAAAGTGTAGTTTAAGTACCTTTGGTAAGGTATTCAATAAAAACCAAAATATATCAGATGAATACAAGTAGAAAGGGTAAATATGTTTCACATGCAACCCAAGGATAGCAGACTTACTACAACAAGAAAGTTACTCTGGTAATTATTTGAAATCTTTCTGTTGAGCACAGTAGTATAACATGTTGTAAAACTACATAGCCAGGAAAAAAAAAATCCATTTGGGGAAAATATTCTCCAGAAACAATGGAACAACTGTGGGGCAATATATGATTTTTCACTTGAGTCTACAGTCTACAGAGAAGGTGACAGACTGATATTTTCATATTAACTCTTGTAAGAATTTTCCACTTGAAAACCTTTCAGATAAGAAGTATTCACAGAAGGCTCTATGCCTGGACATCCAGCTAAATATTAAGTTGTCCCAGCTTCTGCTCACCTCCCTTGCTTCTGCATTCTACATGTTTTCCTATCAAAGATGGTGTTACATCTCCTGAGTCATCCTTTTCTGTTTTCTGAAAGTCTGGTCACATGCCTGGGGAGGCTTTCACCTGCTTATCAGACAGAGTAGAGCAATGGGAAGGTGTCAGAGCCTTTTGTAAGTGCTCACTCTCTTGGAAAGGGTGAGGAGTCATTGAGGGGTAGAAGCAGGGCTGACAGGAGTGAAACTGTATGCTGCCAGGGGAGCTAACATAACCAAAAGACAGAAAGTTGATGATACCCAAGTACCATGCATAGTAAAATTCTTTCCTTTCTCATATAAGCAATGTTATTGTACGACATTTTATTGCCTTGACTGTACAGACCTCTGAGTAGTTCAGGGAATTAGGGAGACTGCAGTTTACAAATTTTCTTTTCCCTTCATATAAGCTGAAAAATGTTCCTAGTAACCTATAAGTATTTAAGCAATAGAAAGCCTAAAAATGATTCTTTAAATGACAGTAAAGACAATACAGTATGCTTACATAAAAACACATTGTTATTAATTCTGTAGGCACCATTAAAACCTCTGCATTGGTCCTGCACAGTAATGTGGTACTGCAGCAACTTCACATTTTGAGTATGTCAATATGCCACAATTATTAGGTACCTGGAATGGAAAATGCAGGGGTTTTTTGATGTTCACTCCTGTACCTGACTTCAGTCTGTGTTCATATTACAGCATATATGAAGTGACCTACTTAGCTTCAATCCTGTAGTAAGCTTTTCTTTTTCAGATCCATTAAACCCAATTTTTGTTTATCTTATTGTAAGTTTTGGCACTTAGTATCTAGAATGCTGGTAACCACTAGGAAGTTTGTGTGGTTAGTATGTTATACTTACTTCCTCCTCTTTGACCTGCAGGGTTAGATTTCTATTAGGATCTTCAAAATTCAGTAGGTTTCAATTTTTTTCTAGGTTCAGATTAAACCAATGTTTCGTCTCATCTTTTTGTGATGTTTCCAGCTGCAGTTCATCCTAGCTTTGGGGTGAATTTGCTATGTTGGCAAATGTATAGCTCCTTTAAATCCAGGTTTACAAGTCATTTATTAAAATAATTCATAATTAATTGAGTTTCTAATTTGCCTTTTGGTGAAGCACCCCTGGATGCACAGCATTAAAGGTTCTATTGAAGTGTGGCCTGATTAACTGATTAATAGATTTTGCTTTTTACAGGAGCCTCTTACATATGTGAGCATAATTATATTCTACCACTTTCAGAGAAAAATGGAGTAATTCAGGCAGAGAAATGCTTTGGTCTTGTTATTTAATTAATTTAATGTTGTGTGAAAAGGCCAGATTGACAATTCTGCAGAATCAAGTTCTCTTTATCCATAGCACTATTCAGCATTGAACTGACCCCCCCATTTCCTATAACTCCCTTCTGCTTACCAGTGTGCTCCAACCTCAAGCAGAATTAGTTTAGAAGGAAAAATTTAGTGTAGAATGCTGCATTGTCTTGAATTTAACTATTCAAATTCATGCAACTAACATTCTTGTTATTTTTAGCTCTTTTTCTTCCTTCCAAAGTCCTTTGATTTCTATAATCTTGGGTATCTCCTTATGAACCATAATTTGTTTCCCTATCCCATTTATTTTTTCTCTAGAACAGGTCTTTCCTGTGGTATTTGGATAGGATTTCCCTTTCCACAGTATCCCTGAAGGCTTCAAGTCTCAACTCCTTTGCAAGAATAATGGTGGTCCTGGAGTGCAGGACAATACTATTCAACCCTTGCAGTGTATATAAGGTACAAAAGACCATGATAGCTCTACCTTCCTTGTAGGAAAGGAGGCTAAAAAAATCTCTCCTAACATACATTTGCTAAAAAGGTGGGCATATTTTTACAAAATATCTGAAAGTGCATTCACTTGCATATCTGGTGTAGGGTTTCCTGGAATCTTCCAAAATTTATACACAAATAATCTGAGGACTGATATGGATATTTTGTATGTCACTAATGGTAACTATTTGTAGGGGTGACAGACTTGTGAATCAATATGCCTACAATACATTTACCTGTAAATAGATTTCTATTTGTAGAGCAACTGCAAGAAAAAAACTAAGACTAATTTCATCTATTTCAGATGAACAAGAAAATGTATTTCAAGCTGGGCTGAAAATTACAGTTGCTTTACAGAAATAAGCATATCAGTTCCTATACAGTAACATCTGAAATGAAGAAGAGACGAGCGAAAGAACTGTCACTCATTACCATAAGTAATGAAGGCTGACTGGGCTTGATAGGAAAAGCCTCATTGCCAGTACAGCAACAAGCTGATGTATAGCAAGCAACTAGTGCCACAAGGCCTGTAAGCAAAAGACAGTGCAGTTCCTTCTAATGAAAATTTCTTATGTGTACTTGTATCTTATTTCCTGACATGAGCTGCAGTGTTCTGCACATTGCTTTATCTCTTTAAGGTTAGACATTTCTACATCTTGTCGCTTACCTTAGCTTTTATTGTATCCAACTCCTCTTCTAACACTGGATATTGTTGCTGGCTTGAAACACTTCCTGAAATTTTATTTCTGTGCCTTTGAGACATGTTGCTGATGCATGTTGGTCCTTCACCTTCTTTCTTTCTTTGCTAGGACTTTCTTGAACAGAAATGCATATTTGTAAAGCTGGTATGGGTATTAAGGTTTCACAAACAGTTTCACTACTGCTGGAGATCTACGTACCATCCCATCCCAGTTTACAATGACCTTTCTGTTCTTCAGTGGCTATTTTTACTCTGGTTATTCTCAGATCCTGAAGGTTGTGTTTGTTTATGCTGGCTGCAGTTTGAAGGGGCTACAGATAGAGTCAAGTGTCAGTATAGTAGCATTTCCTTGCTCTGTGCTCCTTGCCTGGGACTTCCCTGAAACACTCTAGACAATTAAGATGTTTTTCATGACAATAAACAGAACAACTCATAGGCCAGCGGGTATTCACATCCTAAAACATTCACTTTGGAAAATGACCTTTGGGACTTCTTTTTCTCTACTGATTGAAGTTCTTGCTGACTAGCTGCTTCATAAGGAAGCTTGCCAGGTGGCTACGATATTGACGACAGCTTGAGTTTACAAGTACACACTTAGAAAATAAAATAAGTTCAATTACCTGTATGCAACAGTGATGACGTTTTTTTCTAGTGACAAAAATAAATATATTTACTAGCTTTAAAAACTTTCATTGATGAGATGCACTGCTGCATTGTAGAGCTGAAAATGCCTCTAGCATTTGCAGCCACTATGAATAAATCTCTACTATATGGTGCAAAATAACTTTTACCAAGAAAACAAGCCTGTGCCCTCTGTTTCCTTGAGTGAAAGATTTGGAGCTAATTGAACAAGCAGCAAAGTTTTAACCCTAAATAGTGTTTACTTCTAAAATGGTATATTTCAACCATGACATTTCAGTCCTGGAAATGCTTTTGTAGCAGAAGATTGTGAGAGTGGATCCTTCAGCTGTTACTGTGATTCACTGCAGTCCTAACCTTTCATGTATTTGCAATGTCAGGACTCACACTCCTTCACCTCTCCTGTATATCACAAGCAGTAGTAATTCTTAACTGTAGTCCTCTGCTATTTCAACATAGCATTTTGATCTTGGCTTGGAGCAGTTTCTAAAATAACTTTCCTATACTCCTGAGGCAGATTTGTCAGAACACCTCAGTCCTGATCTTCCGTATTCCCTGGATCTGGGTCTCTCTTGCACAGAAATACACAGACACTGGAAAATTTCTACGGTGCTTTTGAAATGTGCAAATGCGTGAAATAAAATATGACCATTCTAAGGAATTTTAACAAACTTTAGTCCTGAGCTGAGGTTTAAAAGGGCACTGCCTTTACATTCTTTGTGTTGTTACTGTTGATTAGTGTTACATCAAATCAACTCTTTCTCTTTGTAATATCTATCTCAATGTTGTACAGTTCTGGATGGAGAGTTAACATTTTTTTGGAGTCAGGGTAGTCAAACTGGTATGCCAGCCTCATCATTTTAAGCAGTTTTGAAATAAAATGGGAGATGGTAAGTAATGTTGTAAAAAGAAAAGCCCAAGAACTTTGAATCTAAAATGTTATCTCGCACTCTTTTTTTTCCCCAAAGAAGATTAAATTAGTTCAGTACAGCTCTGGTTATAATGATCTGATTCCTGGTGCTACTGTGATTAAACTGGGTGCATTAAAGTAAGCAATGATAAATTAAAAGCACAGTAGAAATCTTGGTGGTTGTGAACAGATGAGTAATCTTAATTGGAAATAAAATATGCCCATTATTCTGTGCTATAAATGGACTTTTATATTATGAATTGAGGAGATAAAAACTTGATGTGTGGTGCAGTGCCACATTAGAGAGAAGTTCAGTACAAGTGTAGGGAGTAAAGCCTTTTCTCAGATTATTAAGGACAAACACAAGCTTTCACAATGCCTCAGTAGCATTTCTTTGCATGTGCAAAACCAGATGCAAGCAGTAACTTTTCTGTTGAACATTCAGATTTTCATAATTCTATTAGAAAATGCCCTCTAAGTACTTTTCTTTAAAGTGGTGACACAGTATATTCCCATTTATTTTACTTCCCAGCACTTCCCAGACTAAATAACAATCGGTACTGTTTTGAAATCCATACAAAATGGCAGAAAACAGAAGCTGCAAAGTAATTACTTAAAGCCCAAAGAACCTAAGAAAAATCTGTGTCTTTCAGTTTAGTGGTTCCATGTGATCAACATGTATGACAGTATGGAGAATCCTGTCATACAGGATACAATCGGATACAATTGGATACAATCGGCTTTTGTCAGAACTTGTTTTTTATTCGGAAGTAGCACTTGCTATTATCTTGCTTCATTAGTAGAGTCTCTCATGAAATTTCCATTGCTTCTCAGTAGGAACAGAAAAATGGGCTGTGTGGGTTGGGTTGCCTATTGATAACACAAAAACACATTTGAGCCTATTGAGTCAAAACTTTCCGATCCCTATCAAATTTCAAGAGCCTGTTACATACGACGCCAGTTGTGAACAAACTCTTAGACAAGTGTTTTGAGGCTCTCCTTTTTGTGATTGCTGTGTGTGGAGCTACATAGATCCAACACTCAAAAAAAAAATTACAAAATCTCTCTTCCCAGAACCTAAGTATTTCAGAGCATTCACAGCTCTAGCAGGCAGTCTAAGATATAATTTGCACTTCTACCACATATGATATTGTTTACCTGAAATTAAGTGATAGTCTTAAAGGTAAAAAAACCCATTTCTGCCATTAAAATTATGAACAAAAATGAGATTAGTCCCAGTGCTCATGCCTGTAACCTAAAGCTCCAAATTTATACAAATTAGAGAATTTTGCTTTTGAAAGTAAGATTTGATCCATAGAGCCAAATGATTAGTGAAAGAAGTGATCATATAACTTCTACTATAATTAGACTGCAATATAGCAATTAACCAACCTAGATAATTAACTGAACAAAGAATAATTGTGTCAGCTCTGAGTGCTGGCAGCTGGTACTCAGTGTTTGCCAACATGCCCTGTTGTGTTAAATTTAGTTACGCTGAAATAACCTGCATGTATTGTATTTGTATTAAAAGATTTTGTTTTGCCTTATAGAAGCACTGCTCTTCATGCAGTTCAGCAATCTGAGGGCTGAAGGTTACAGGGACAGAGAACTCACTAAGTTGGAGAATATGATCTAATAATTTTGTTCTACTTTACACCTCTGACCCTCATTTTAAAAATTATTCACATGCGGGTGACTGCCAAATTCTTGCTATGTCTGCTTTATGCAACATTTCCACTGATCCTAAACTGCACAGGATCTGAGACAGCCACCTTATGAGCTCATATATCACATTTATAAGCATCTCTAGAGACAGCTAATGCAGAGATACAGATAATGCAGAAAGATATTCCATGGACTGCAAATTTTGAGGGCCTGTAGTCTTGAATTACAAGTGGAAAACAAGGTATGTTCTGGCTCTTGCTCATGTTTTGCTTATGCCAGCCCAATTTCACTGAAGCATAATTTATTTGCTTCTTTCCTACACAACAAGAGAATAAATCTATGAGTTAATCCTGAGAAACTATGTGGAAATTGATAAGTATCCTGCTTTAGAGTCACTAACGCTGGAATTAGCTTTTCTAGTTGGTCCAAGGAAGACCAAGTGTGTTAATCCTCACATTCAATACATGGTGTAAATCTTGTATATCATTTCCATCTTCTTCCTGTACCAGAGGTAGCATAGTGAGAGGACAAGGATTGGGGTGGTCTTTATGCTAAGTTTGTTTTTCAGTTAAGTAACTTATGTCACTGTGTCCAGTGTGTGCCTGATTATTATTATTATAAATAAATCTAAAATGAATACATATCTGCTACTCTCCAAGATTAGACTAATATTAATTAAAACCTCAAAGTATGTTGTTCTTTTTCCCTTGTTACATCTACAGATTTTATGCCTTTTTTACAAAAGAATTATACTGGCTGCAAAATGAGTGAATTTGAATGAGTGAATTCCTACACAATCAAATTCAAAGCTAACCCAGTATTTAGTAAAGATTCAATGTATTTGCAATGCTTTGGACTAGACTCTCAGTAAAGCGGCACTCAGGCCTACTTTCTCCTATGGATTTTTTGGAGTCCAAGGGCAGAAATATGCCTCCACCCTCAGTACAGTACACAGAGAGAATTAAGAGCCTCTGTATATACTGATACTAAAACTCAACTTTGAGTAAGATGCCTCATAACCCTTTGAACATATTCAAAGGTGGATGTGTCTAGGATCCTACCTCCCTTTTTCCTTGCGCCCCAGAGCTGAGGAATTTGCAATTGCAGGGAAATGTTACTCTATTTCTGGTGTACAGTCAGGAACCATTTATAGCCAGAAACAAGTTATTCTCTCCAATTGTAGGTGGTGGTGATGTTCTCTTACCTTTCTTATTACAATAGTCATTGCAACAATTGTCAAACAAAAAGAGGTCAAAATTCAGTTACTCTCTTAGCTTAATGGGGTTAAAACCTGTCTTCTAGAAGAAAATCTTAATCACTAGGCTCTAGATTTGAAGACTCTTCTTGAACTTAGTCCAGAAAGTGTTTGCTGGCCCTGAGTCGAGTGTCATGCTCATCTTGTCTACATTCTTAAACTTTCTTGTTGTTCCCAAAACAGTGTTTCTGCATGTGAAGTGCTAACTGGGAACAGGCCTTAACACATTCTCTGAGGGGCGTTTGACCTGTGCCAGCGAGGTCAAACATTTCTCAGGCATGAGCGGCGGAGAGCATTTGCTAACAGTTAAGTAAGTGTGACCTTTCTAGACTTAGGTGTGAGCTCCTTAGCTTGGAGCCTTTCTCTGCATGCTCAGAAGTAGAACTTGAAGGACCATGGACCTTTGAAACTGAGCACAGGCAGAGGTTGCTGATCCACCCTAGGTTAAGAATGCACATATGAATGATTTTCACTGATATGGGCCTAGCAGTTTATGAAATGCCCAACCAATATGACATTTCCCCATCAGATTACAAGTTATAATGATAATAGCAGAATCCTTTTATCTTTTGTCATGTTTACTAGTAGATGTGTGCATGCCTTTTGTGCTGTGTTCTTAATAATAAATTGACAAGGATAATATGGTCTGGCAGGGATTTAACACTGAATATTCAACTTTTGATTGACTTCCAGAGGTGTTTTTTAAACATAAAGTTGAGGAACTCATCATTATTTATTTGGATTTTTCACTT